AGGTATTCCAACCCCTCAGCATGTGGGTTTTGAAGAATAACTGCACCTTTGTGCACTGCTGATACTCTTGGAATACTCATCTATTTGTTTATCTTTGCAACCTCACTGCTTCACTGAAAAAGCATCAAGCTAAAAATTGGGATATTTTCTCTTGAGCTCACACCTCATCTGTTCCCCTCTGGGAGTTAGTAGTGATTGTGTTTTTCTTTTTTCCTCCTCTCCTTGTCCTCCTCCTCCTTTATTCTTTATTCCCTCTCCCCCAATGCTGCAAACATCACAGTAAACAATCTATTTATATTGATGGTCTTTAAACCTCTCTCTTTTTTAATGCCTCTAAGAAGGTCAGAGAAAAGCTTCGGAAGGGAAAAAAGCAAAATCCTCTAACTAAACTTGTTACTGTTAGTTCTGAGCACTACAGTCTTCTAAAGACATCACAATTAGTAGAAAGACACTCTACTCTGGAAAAGAAGATGTAGTTTAAAGACAAACAAGTGAAAAGACGTTCTGAGCTTTTCAAATACCTTTCACTGTACCAATTCCAAATCACAGCTGCTGGGCTTTGGAATGGTTAGATGACAAAGCGCTTTGCAACTTGATTTTTTAAAATAATATTAGAGACATTATGCAAATGAGGCATGAACACAACTCCCACTTCCTCATAGCTAACAATGTATTTGTGTACACTGTACAAATGCAGTGTTATTAAAGTGAGACTGAAGAGGAGTAATTCCCTGAAGGAGTTTTTCCATTTTGGTTGGCATGCGGTTCCATGTTCTGAATGAGCCACATTTCAGAGAGAACACAAGGTCTGAGAAATAATAGAGCTGATTCTGTTCTCACTTGTGCTGTATATATCCAGAGAAACTCCACTGAAGTCAATGATCCAAACTCTGTTTCCAGTGACGCTATTGCAAATCAGGAGTGATCTGCTGGACACAACAGAGGTACTCCAGATTTACAGTGATGTCACTGAAATTAGAATGTGGCGCAGTAGTTTGTGCTGCAAATCCAGTGGTGGAGGAGTTAGAATGAGGCTCCACATCTCTCTGTCATATGTTAGAAGGCAGTTGATTATTGCCAAGACGACAGCACTCACCTTAACAATGGAAAAGAAAACCAGATCCATAACAGCTCGGATTTCATCTATGCAATTTATCCAATGAGACTTCCAATCCCTTTGCAGGGTACCCTGCTGCTAACTTAGCAGTCAAGATCAGAGCACTTAATCAATCATCCACTGAGGACAAATATGCGTAATCTACATTAGAACAAACCAGAGCATATTTTACATGACAGCTGAACAGATTTGTAAGAAAAAACACAGGCAAGAAAATTGCACGAAAACAAAATTCCTTCATGTTTATGCTTAAAATGGCGATTGCCTAAACAGCTATTGTAGGTCTACAGAAGTCCTCAACATAACCTGTGCTTATTAATTGCATTGGAATAGCTCCACATTTACGTCAGTGAAGCGGAATAGAATTTGACTCACTAATTAATACGAGGGACAAAATGTTTCATTATGAAGGCACATGGTGTAGATTTCATGTTCGAAAGGCTCTATATTTCCATCTCTGTTTGGTAACACTTATGAACAGTGTTGAATTGGTTCTTTGTGAATCAAAAATTGGGTAGCAATGCACATCATGAGGTAACTTTATACTGCCACAGGTAGCAAAAGGAGGTAACAGTCTGAAGGACCAAAACAATCATCTAAGAGAATGAATCTTAGGTCTTTGTAATATTGAAATTCACCCTGATCTTTTCAAATCAATGTGGTTACATAATGCAAGTCCCTTCCTAAATCCATTTAAGAATATTAATGTGGATTAAATTAAATTAATTTTCAAATGACATCTATAGCTGAACTGATACAACTTTTACCAAAGAGAAAGCCTAGCATGATTTGATTAGACCAAATCCTAAGTTCTAGAGGATGATGTTTGCTCCTATGAATGTCCAGGAGGTTCTCTTCTCTGCCTGCAGGCACGTGCATTACCATTTGGTACATGCAATAGGTCCAGTTTGGGTTCATCAAGAGCTGGCTCAGAACCATCATTGTGGGTGCAAATATTGACATGCAAATAGAGAATCTGACCACTGGTAAAAATGTGCACCTTTGTGTTTGTATGAGGCAGCCTAAGCCACTAATTTCTATTAGATCAGTGATGTGTGAAGTGATGACTCATGCAAAAAAAGTCATAAATACTGAGTCCCCTGAAAAATCTTTCTTCTCATTCTGTCCACAGCCTCGATCAGTGGTGGGCAGTCTGTGGCCTGCAGGACACACGTGGCCGATCAGGGTTCTATGGGTGACCCGTGAGACATTTTGTTTATTGATGCCCATGTGCAGGGTTGCCAGATTCCGTCTGCGTAGTTTTTTTTCCTATCAGTATTACTAAAGTGACACACATGTAAAGCAAGGAAATGTGCAGTGAGGCGCATGCTGATTGCACACACTGACTGTGAGAGCCATGCTCCTCTTCTGCATGCAATCGAAGTGCTGCTACAGTTCATTCGACACACCCTGCAAATTCTAGGTAGCCGAGTGCAGTTAGCAAAACAACCCTGTTCTGGGAGATTGTCTTGCTTAGGACAATTTTGCAGCCTCATGAGATGAAGGACAACCACTCATGCAGGCCACTCAATAGCCTAGGTTGGCCATTGCTGGCCTAGTTTGTAAATCACATAGGTTTTATAAAAATCAATCCACTGTTGCCAATACAAAAGTAGCAGGAACTCCTAGGGAAATATTTGTGGGGTTCATACATCACATAAACCACTCAATAGGAGACAATTCCAGTTTCCCCTCAATGTTCTGTGGTGTTCTGATACTTTTAAACACTTCAAAACAGACCTGATCTGAATTATGGCAGGGCTTCCTCCTTTTCGCTCTATCTCCTCGCTCTTGAGGGCAGGTCTGACTTTCAGGGGCAAGTTTTTAAATGATGAGCCAGTGTTGCTTTTTGTGAAATATACACCTGGGCCTAGTCCTGGGTTGCCTGCAGAATTCAGAGGTGCTCAGGAAAAAAAATAGAGAACTACCTACAAAGAGCAGCTGGGCCACATCCGTTTCTATGCAGGTGTGGATTTTTTGAATGCTCTTTCCTGTGGGAGAACAGAATTTGCAAAATTATGTTTGAACATGAAGGATGTAATTTTATGTGAGTACAAGTTAGCTTGAGAATATTGTAAGTGGGCCCAACTTTCAGACGTGGGCACTTCATGAGATTTCCAAATTTTGTATGTGGCTGTTCAGACTTGTAATCGGGAATGGAATTTTCTAAGCTGTGGCTTAACACTTTTCCCATTAAAGCTGATGGCAAAAACCCCATGAACTTCAATGAGAGTAGAGTTGTGCTAATGCTGAATGCTTTTGAAAATCTCTTCCTAGGTGTATAAACCTGGAATTTGGATGCTTAAATGTGTATTCAAGCATCTAGAAGCCAAAAATGGATGCTCTATTGAGGCACCAATAATGTACAATGGAACCTGATTTAAAATTCCCAGTTCAGATCTGGGTTTAAAGTTTCTCAAAGTTTAGGGAATGAGGAGGTGGATTTGGAGTCACAATTTTTGTTGAAGTTCATTTCAGTATTTAGAGAAATAGAAATGTGCTTTTCTGAACCCCTGTGGTGTTGGTGCAAACGGTACAGACCTGTAACTGCAAATGCAGACATTCTTTGCAAAATATGCAAATGCTAGTTTGTTTGTTTGAAGTATCTCTTCCTTTCCCTCCAAAATTGATTTTTCTTTAATTGCAGAATGTCTCTTTTGGGGTCAGTTTTAATGCATCGGGTTTTGGCAGTCTCTGCTGAGTTTTATTTTTCTGCCTCACAAAACAGGATGTATTGGTTGCCTGATCATTTTGTGCAGATGGCAGCCAAATATCCAAGAGAAGGGTTGAAAGGTGTCCTTACAGATAAGGCCTAACCCTGGTAACTAGGAAATACATACTTTCTTCTTAGCTCTGCATCAAACTTCTTGCATGACTTACAGAAATCACTTGAACACAATATTTAAACCTGGATCCTAAATCCCTATTAGAACTTCCAAATAAGTGGCCTGTTTTGTTTATTAGCTGTGGTATTTAGCTTAGCAATATTTACCATCAAGCTATTTATTTAGATACCGAACTTTAGGCCCCTGCGTTTGCACACTTTGACCATAACCACTCTATGCCAATGGAAATAATACTTCTTATCTCCCTCCCATAGGTGTTACAAGGCTTGAATCATTAAGCTTTATAAATTGCTTTTATCTCCTCCAATGGACGGCTTTATAATTGCACCAAGTATTATTTTGGAGCGCTCAGGTGGCTCCAGGGAGAATGTAATGGAAGGAATACTAATAAATAAATAGAAAAAGATGGACTAAGCCTTTGCTTCATCCAGCCCTCCCCCTCCACTGTTCTCCATCACCGGTGGAGTCAAACAATTAATTTACAAGTCCAGCATTTTACAAAGTTCTCCAGTAGCTACTTGCTCTTCTCCAGTCTGACGCCTGCATCTTTGAGCAAGCGCCAGCTGAGACTCCAGGGAAACCTTGTTCCTGCCCTTCGCTAGGCACCTCCGCTCCATTTCCCAAGCACCACTGTGTGTGTTTGTTTTCAAATGAGCTGGCTCTGATGTCAGCCCATGCCAGTGTGGGTTACACCAGCATCATGCAAAAAGCAGCCACTGAGGTGCAGGCTGCAGAAATAATGTGGAAATAATCACGCTGGCATGGGCTGCTCTCACCCTGCACTGCAGCACACGCCCCATGGAGGAACAGAGCATCACGGTTCATATTGCAAGTGTAGCGCCGCTATTCTACCCCATCCATGAAGCGTACATATTATCAACAGCCATTTCCTCAAGGCAGGAATCCAATTGCACAACAGCAGAGAGAAAGGGGGGGGAGTGAGCAGATGCAAAGGCAAGAAGCAATAGGCTTGCAAAAGTGTAGCTAGCCTGGTTGTATTTTTTCATGTCTTTCTCTCCCTCCCTCCCCTCCTCCAGTCTGTTGCGCAGGCCATGCTGTTCCAGTTCAGGGACTCTTGCAGCAGAAAAGATCAGCTGTTGGAGAACCCATGGAAGGCCCTTGGGGAAGCGCCATGGCCGCAAGGTAATCAGCAGGCAAAGTTATTATCATTATGCTGCTAATTAATTCCCAGCTCATTACGTTTCCTGTGGCTAATTTGTACTCGCCACTGATTTGATTAAACTCATCTCTATGCTAATAAATGTGTTTTCCATTTGTTTTAGTGACTGAAGGAAGAGAGCCCGGTATTTACATATTTTGACGTTTATCAAATAAAACGCAGTGCCTGAATTAATTCTGCTCTGATTTATAAGTGTGTGGGAAGGGGAGGGGAAATGGGAAGCAAAGGGCCAGGCCTAATATTTAATATATACTTGCATGTGTTACACACACAGTATGGCATATTATATATTTGTGATTATATATACTACACACACACAGAGCCCCTGTACTGTAACTGGTGTAAGCAGTACCTTGCTCCTGTGTTGAGCCCTACCGACTTCCATGCATTGGTGTTCTGACGTGCAGATCTGCCAACATACAGTTCATTGCAAGTGATGAGACCGTGTTCTCAAGGGGACAGTAAAGGAATCCTCTCTGCCTGAGTTTCCCTGCCATCCACACTACCCCAATCTGCAATAAAGCTTGTTGTCTCTAATGGTTATTTCATACTGACCTCACACACAGAACCTTGGTGACCTGCTATGAAACAGTCATCTTCGCTGACCAGTCACAAGTAAATAGGCAAGCCCCAGAGGAGGGGGAAAACCTTCCATGTGATCCAGTCTTGAGAGACATCCTACCCTGCATTTAGAATAGCTGTTTTGAATGCTAGAAAGCCTAGAGGACTATTTCCTGGTGTATAAACCTGGTACAGTATATTTAATCCTCTTATTTTTGTTTAGAGGTCTCAGAGGGGTAGCCATGTTCGTGTGTAACTAAAAACAATGAGTAGTCCTGGGGCACCTTAGTCCACACTACAGGCTAAAGCTGAAATTAAGATATGCAACTGCAGCTACGTTAATCGCGTAGCTGAAGTCGAAGAACCTTAACTCCACCTTTGGTGCTGTCTACACAGCAGGAAGTTGAGAGAGAAACACTCTTCCTTCGACTTCCCTTACTTCTTGTGAAACAAGGGTTATGGAAGTAATAAATTGTGGGTTTGCTGTGTAGATGCACACTCTTATTTCAAAATAAGTGAGCAGTATCAACATCACCCTAGAGACTAACATATATAGATGAGCATTTGTGGGCAAAACCCACTTCCTCAGATGAGATGGGCTTAGGAGCTTCTCTTCCTTTTAATTGCATACACGCAGTACACTTCGCAAAGACTTTGTGGAGTGAATTTTTCTGTTTCAGGAAAATTACATTGCAACAGCTAATTATAAGAAATAGGTGGCATTTCTGTGTTTGCTCAAGACTTGATACAGTAATAGTTGACTCAAGTCAATATGTTTTTTAATTATACAGAGACGTACGTTACAATTCATAGACAGGCATGTACACTTGTTCCCTCTGTTTAATCCACCTACAGGTGATCAACATGGCATAATATTATATCTAGCTATAACAGGGTGGCACTCACCTACAGTGAGCACTTCCATCTGGTCACATGGGGGATGCCTGCACCATCTTACTCTCTGAAAAACTTTGCAACTACAAAGACCTCCAGCTGAGCTACACAGCCTTGTGTGAAATCACAACTCCTTCTGGAGCATATACTTCACATATACTTTATGTAGTATCTCTCAGTTCAGTGCATTCCCCTGTCTGTTTCCCCACTCAGTAGGAGAGTGGTGCCCCCAGGGATTCCCCCTGGAAACAATGTTCTAAACAGCTCTCCACGCTGAGCTAGCCTTAGTTCTGCCAGCCAGACACCCTTGAAATTCTCCCTTCCAGGTCTGGGAGACAGCTAACCTGCCTTTAGTCCTGCAGCTCCTTTTGTAGTCCCTCCTACCTCCTGATTGGATGGTTTCTTCCTACCCACTCTAGCTGCCTGGAGGACTTCTCTGTGGCTCTAGCCCAGAGGAAAGAACATACATCTGACAACTGAAACTTTAAGCCAAATCCTCAAGTGTAAACCAGCTCAGCCTACACTCAAGTCAGTGGTATATTTCCTGTAATTAACTGCTGCTGTATAATTATCCTCTTCACTGGGACAAATTCTAAAAGAAACATTTTCTGAGTAGGGTTTGCAAAAGTGCTTACATGAAAGCCAATGTTGTGTGAGCTTCTAAGTTACTTACATGTTTTAGAAAACCCCATCCATCTGCCTTTCCCCTTTCAGAGTTTATTCAATAAAACTGGACATTTTCACCAAATATACATCTGTCTATTCGCATGAACTAGGTGTAAAACCTTGTGGAATGTAACCTATGAACAAAACAGCTATTTGAAAAAAAATCCTTTTCTGGCTGTAAAGACCACACTGGTTGGCTGTGTCTAGACTGGCCAGTTTTTCCGGAAAAACTTGCCAGCTGTCTACACTGGCTGCTTGAATTTCCGCAAAAGCACTGACTTTCTACTGTAAGAAATCAGTGCTTCTTGTGGAAATACTATGCTGCTCCCATTCAGGCAAAAGTCCTTTTGCGCAAAGCTTTTGCGCAAAAGGGCCAGCGTAGACAGCTCAGATTTGTTTTCCGCAAAAAAGCCCCGATCGCAAAAATGGCAATCGGGGCTTTTTTGCAGAAAAGCGCGTCTAGATTGGCACGGACGCTTTTCCGCAAAAAGTGCTTTTGCAGAAAAGCATCTGCCAATCTAGACGCTCTTTTCCAAAAATGCTTTTAATGGAAAACTTTTCCAGAAAATCATGCCAGTCTAGAAGTAGCCACTGGGTAGAAGTCAGAGGTAGACCTGGATGTCCACAGCCTTCATCCAGGAGTTTGGTATGATCCAGGCATTTGATTCAGTCAGGATTGGATTTTCTTTTGTTTTCTTTTAACTCTTTTGTTTGGGTTGGTTTCTCTGTCACCCAGGTGAACTGTCTCTCCCACGTTGACCCTTTTGAGGAGTAGCTGCTGAGCGTGGCGATCTAACATGCTGCGTTTAGTATTGGACATCAGTCTCAGTGCTCCATTGTGGCCCGTTTTTCATTTTCACTCACAGCAAAAGTGCACCAGAAAAGAAGGGCTCCTGACTATGTTACTTATCACTCTAGCAATAAGATACCTCCCCTTCTCGCTTCCTCACCCCAGGCAAAATGGAACCAGCTTGATTGCTTAAGTAATAAATAACACACTTTTCCTTTGGGGGTATTTTTGATGTGCCACACTCTTCTACCCAGTGAAGTGCTTTCTCTACATAATATATTAAGCATGGTAGCAGGAACCCTTATACTTTTCCATTTAGTATTCCTGTTCCTGGATTATAATGTTGCCGGGTTAATACTGTGCACTGGTCACTTAATGTTACCTTAAAAGTAGCTTGGAAAAAACACACAAAAAAAACCAAGGAAGGGTGAAATTCTCTCCAGCCACCCTCATAGGCTACGTCTACACTGGCATGATTTTCCGGAAATGCTTTTAACGGAAAAGTTTTCCATTAAAAGCATTTTTGGAAAAGCGCATCTAGATTGGCAGATGCTTTTCTGCAAAAGCACTTTTTGCGGAAAAGCGTCCGTGGCCAATCTAGACGCACTTTTCCGCAAAAAAGCCCCGATCGCCATTTTCACGATCGGGGCTTTTTGGCGGAAAACAAATCTCTGCTGTCTACACTGGCCCTTTTGCGCAAAAGTTTTTCAGAAAAAGACATTTGCCCGAATGGGAGCAGCATAATATTTCCGCAAAAGCACTGACAATCTTATATGAAATCGTCAGTGCTTTTGCGGAAATTCAAGCAGCCAGTGTAGACAGCTGGCAAGGTTTTCCGCAAAAGCAGATGATTTTGCGGAAAACCTTGCCGGTCTAGACACAGCCATAAGGTACAAGTGTTCTGGCACTTGGAGAATAACACTGACGGTCCCAGTTAAAGGCCTAGAAGCTCTGGGCCATCATGCAACCTCCCATCCCTCCACCCCCTCCCATTCCCCCACATTCTTTTCCAGGGATGGTAGAGTAGCTGCACGCCCTTGGTGAAAATTGAATGGGAAACCAGGACCACTGAATCCACACAAGTCCAGGCCCATAGCCTTTTCCATTGCCTGGCCTCAAACCACTCTGAAGCACAGATGTCCCTGTTTGGCTACACAACCAGTGGACCCTCAGGCATTCTCTGTTCTTGGCTTCCACAGTAGGAAGGCCTTTATGCCCCACTTCCATGCTGGGGTAAATTTCACCCTGGCTGAGCTCAGCTGCTGTAGCTAGAGCTGAGATGAGGCCTTCTTTCTCGAACTATAATCTATAGGCCCCAATGCACACACTGCAGCCTGTTTTGCGCTTGCCTAAGGCACAGGAATGGAGGGCGATGCAGAAGGAAGTGTGCATCCTTTGACACAAAGGCAAATTGTGCCGAGCTAGGGAAGACCCCGACTCTCTGCCAGACTGGTCGAACCGTGCTGTGGCACTGGCTGACTGCCGAAGCCCACACCACATGTTTAAAATCAGGCCCTTCCCACTTCATGCAAAAGATGCTGAGGATCTGTGGGTGGAATTCTTGTCCCTTGGTCAAAGCCTGAGTAACAGCCTTCAGCACAGAGCAACAAGGTGGGGGTAAATGACCCTCCCCATGGCCAGTGTGGATTTAGGCCATCCAGGTTGCAGCTGTAACTACAGGCCATTGACAACGTACTCACTTCTCTTCACACCCATGTAGGATTTGTGGAGCAGCAGAATTCAAGGATGGTTATTCCACTGTAGCTAGTTCATCTCCATTCCCTCATAGGGCCCTTTGATGTAAAGTTCACCCTTCACTGCTGTTTGCAGTGATATCTCTGTACAAAACACTCCACTTCCTCTCCCCTCAGTACGTACTCCTCTGACCATGGTCTGTGTTTGGGGGCTTCCCATGCACCATTCATAGCTAGGAGGATCTTTGAGAGCACCAAAGTATTTGTGCAATAGCCATTAGGATGGCCACCCGGCTCTCTT